GCCCCGCGCCAGCCGCTCTCTTTCCCGGGTTTTGCTCCCTGCCTGGTGCCGGCCGCCCACCCTACCCTAAACGTCACCCTCCCGGCTTTCCCCCGGGAGACAGTCGGCCGGGGGTGGAGGGGATGCAGAGTGGGCGTCTTTCGCCCCAGCGGCGTGCCGGCCACAAGCCAGCCTGGGCGCCCTCACGGAGCTAGGTACCAGAAGGGCCGAGGCCTCCCCGGTGCTTTGTGTATGTTCAGAGATGATGAAAGCAGGAGAGTAAACAGCCACAGAGCAGCCCGTTGGCTGCTTATCAGCCTGGAAAGGGTCCTCAACCCTGGATCACCTGTATCCCTGGCTCACCCCGACACCCCCATCTAATGGGCTTCGAAACCTCTCAGGGGAATAAGGGTATGGGAGTTCCCCGGCAGCGGCCCATTCTCAAATCATTTCTCAGCTTCACAATGAAGTCACTCTATAACCTAGTCTTGCATTGCCCTGGACTTGGGGTCCAGAGACTAAGATCAGCTTTGCATCTCTAGTCCCTGCAACCCCCTACCCAACTTCCACAACTGGAGACAAGAAGGTAGTGAACAAAAGGGTTCAAGAAGCCTTACCTGTCTTTTTTTTAACCTAACCTCTTCCTGGTGTCTTTGTCTTTAAGGCCTAGTTTTATTTGGAGATGGAGCTTCTCTTCTTTCACCCTACCCCAGGGTTCTCTTTCCTAGCTTTCCTCCAGCTCCCCGATATTTCCTCCACTTTGCAGCCTGTCAAGTATGTTGGGCAGTTTAGGAGAGTGCCCCACTAACCCTGGGCATTCTCTTGGCCTTCGATCGTGTTGGTGGGTGTCTCTGGATGTCAGAATTCTGACAGACAGCTGCTGGGTCTGTGGCTTGTCTGTACCCCAGCGTGAGGCTCTAGTTCCCAGCCTTCTGCCTTTGGTGGGAGATCAGTCTAGGGGCTTAGTCTCTGGCCCTAGGGGATTGACACCCTGTGACCTGGTTCAGCTTTCAAGCTCTTAGCTCTTTGTCATTTTACCTTTCCCTTCACAGATCTCTTTACACCTCCCACTGGGGAGTATGCTTAGGGTGGAGGAAACAAGGGGTCAAAAGGTAAAGAGAAAGTTAGCCTCCTGGTTCTCAGTTTGAATTAGAACAGAAGGCTAGAATAGCAGGTAGCATAATATGGAAACGTTTAAGGAGACCCAGCGTTGCTTATCTTACAGTTTCCTCAGAAGGGTTACGTGCCATCTTGCTGTTCTTCATCAAGCTGGGCAGTAGCTGGTTTGGGCCTGGAAAGACATTATCCCCAGTTCTAGCAGAAGCAGAATGCGCAAGTTCACTCTGAGTCTGCTTGCCATACCTCACTTCTTTCTTTTTGGTTATGTTAGAGGGGGAATCATGGCTTTCCACAAGGTTTCCCCAAGAAATTCACTGTTGGGCCGGGGATTTAGCTCAGTGGTTCCACTGCCTCCAGGCACAAGGTCCTGAGTTCCATCCCCCATACCAAAAAAAAAAAAAAAAAAAAAAAAAAAAAAAACCCCAAAAAAAAAAAAAAAAAAAAAAAAAAGAAATACACTGCTGTCTTACATCTTCAAAGAGATGTTCCTTCCCCAGCTGGAACACCATAAACCAGAATTCTACAATTCTTGGTGCTGTTGGCTGGAGATCAAGGTCCTGTAACTTCAACTTCAGGGTGTAACTGGGGAAGAGTCAAAAGTGTCCCTTACCACCAACACCCAACTCTGGCAACCTGGGCTGGTGGCAGCAAGGTTCACTTTCCTAGTTTTTGGTTTCTAGGGCCTCCTTTCTACTGTTTTCTTTACAGAGACTTAACATGTCTTTATAGAAGACAAAGATGCTATTTTCTTTGCTTCAGAAGCTTCCACAGCCCATGGGGAAGAAATAAAAGAGCTAATAGATGTTTTATCTTGGATCTACTTTTCTTTCCTTTCCCTCTTTCCCTAGTATATACAAGCTGAACCACCCACCAATAAGTCCTTGTCTAGCCTGGTTGTACAGCTGCTACAGTTTCAGGAAGAAGTTTTTGGCAAACATGTCAGCAATGCACCGCTCACTAAATTGCCGGTGAGTGCAAAAGCAAGGGGATGTGTCCTCCAAACTGGAGAGAGAATTATGTTTTTAAAAATATTTTAAAATTTCATCATTTTTGAGGTTTGGTTTATTTCTTACCATCCCTAATCCTAGTCAAGGCATTACTGGTTTAGCCTAGTCCCCAAATTACCATTCTCTTTGTCTTTAGTAATGCTTTTTGCAGCAAGATCTGATAGTAGTTGGGCTTAGTCCATGAATCTCTCATGGCATGTTTAAAAGTGGGGGAGATTTGGATTTGCACAGGGTTGTGTTCAAGTCCTGGCTTTGCCACTCAATGGCTCTGTGTTTATGGCAATCATCATGAGTCTTGATTCCTTCATCTCTAGCTGAGATAGCTACCTTGTTGGAACTTTGCAGTAGCAAATGAGGTAACCCAACGGAGTCAAAGGCACAAGGTGGTACCTTATGAATATAGCTTTCCTCTTCCAGGCCAGATGATAAAATGGCCAAAGAATTCAAGAATTCTAGTTTTGAAGGGGAGATCAGTTCAGGGTGGTGTTTTATGAAAAGATTTTTAAGTGATAAGAGAATTTACAATATAACTCTCACATGCTTTTTTCCCTGTCTGGATTTTGTAGATCAAATGTTTCCTAGATTTCAAAGCAGGGGGCTCCTTATGCCACATACTTGCAGCTGCTTACAAGTTCAAGAGTGACCAGGGATGGTGAGATGCCTTCTTTCTACGCTTACATTAGTTTAGAGAGAAACCCACATTATAATTCACTGAGGCCTTTCTGGGGTGGGAGAATACAGGTAGAAATTCTATGTGTTGCTAATTCTAGTTCAGAAAAGTAGGTGAGAGTCAGAGCCAAAATATTTTCTGTGTGTGTGTGTGTGTGTGTGTGTGTGTGTGTGTGTGTGTGTGTGTTAGAGAGGTACTTAAGTCGGAATCTCAGGTTGTTCTTTGTCCTTTTGGACTAAGCAGAGTGATTCATGGAGTTGAGATCAGGAAACTTAGATCCTGGGTGATTTTGGCAATAGTTATAAGCAAGATAACTCCCAGTTCCTCATGTTAGGAAGTCACAGACAAGAGCTGCATTGCTCACTAGATTATTGTCTCTTCATAAGGCGGCGTTATGATTTCCAAAATCCGTCACGCATGGACCGCAATGTGGAAATGTTCATGACCATCGAGAAGTCCTTGGTTCAGGTAATACATGGGAACCTCCATCTCCCTTCCCTCAGTGAGAATTCAAAACACTTCTACCCATGACCTCATTATGATCTCTTTCCTCTCCCCACAGAATAATTGCCTGTTTCGACCTAACATTTTTCTGTGCCCAGATATTGAGCCTAAACTGCTAGGGAAATTAAAGGACATTGTTAAGAGACACCAGGTGAGTGTCAGGTCAGGAGATATTTCAGAATTCTATGACTTTCCCTGATGTTTTCCATACCAGAAAGCAACCCTGAAATACCATGTTTTTTTGCTTTGGCGGGGGCATATGAGGGATTGGACTTGGGACCTTGCGCTTGCAAGGCAGGCAGCGGAGCCACTGAGCAAAATCCCCAGCCCAATTTGGTTTTTGTGAGACAGGGTCTCATCTTGTAACCTAGGCTGGCCTCAAACTCATAGTAATCTTCCTGCCTCAACCTCCTGTGAGCTGGGATTACAGGCATGTACCAGTATGCCTGGCTTGAAGGTACCATGTTTTCTACTGCACAGATGGCTTTTTCTACTTGGCAAGGACAAGAGTTAAAGCCTTAAGTTGAGTCCAGTGCTGCACACCTGCAGTCCTAGTTGCTTGGGAAGCAGAGGCAGGAGGATCACAAGTTTGAGACTACCCTGGACAATTAGCAAGACCCTGTCTCAAAATTAGAAAGGACTGGGGATGTAGTTTAGTGCGAGGTTCTGGGTTCAATCTCTAGTAATGGGGGGAAAAAAAAGAAAAAGCCTGAGCCTATCTTTTTCTCTCTGCTTCTCCCATTTCCCAGTCCTGATAGGGACCTGATCATTGTTTCTGGAGACTCCGTTGGCCTAGGGAAAAAAGCATCCTATTTCCTCTGATCTAGAAATTGCCTAATTTCAGATAAATGGAATTCTTGTTCTTTGGAACTTTATAACGAGCAAATGCAGTTGATAAAAACATACTGTCAACTTTAAATTTACCATGTGTAGATAATCTGTCCAGTGGATTATGTGTAGCAATGTTTAATTCTTTCATTTTTTTCCATTATTAGCATAATCCCAGCTCTATTCTCTGCCACTCAATTTACGTGCTGAGAGAATGCAGACTAACTTTAATTTGACTCTAAGCAGAATGTGATTAGGCAGGCAGATGTGTAGTTTCATCTTCTTTTGATTTATTTACACTCAATAATTCAAAGACTACTTTACCTGGTTCTCCTTGTGCCATCCAGGGAGCAGTCACTGAAGATAAGAACAATGCTTCCCATGTTGTGTATCCTGTCCCAGGAAACCTAGAAGAAGGTGAGAGCTGTGTTTTCTGGCCATGAAGTGGATGGTTTAGACTTTTTAGGTAGAGAACTACTCTAGTCACTGCAGCACCTGGGTTCCTATCTCCTTTCAACTGAGAATTCTCTTGTCTTGAGTTCTTATTGTCAGGTCACCTGCTGCAGAAGCAGAGTCCTTAGTTAGGGATTTTTGTCCAGAGTAATTTTTTTGTGTTCCTCTTAGCTTATCTGTCTCTCTTTTCTGTCTCTAACCCCAGAGGAGTGGGTACGACCAGTCATGAAGAGAGATAAACAGGTTCTTCTGCACTGGGGCTACTATCCTGACAGGTAAGGATGAGTTCCTGAGGCAGGTTTAAATATAAGAGCCAGAACCAGGCCCACAAGCCCTGGAATATATAGCAGAGAAAGAAAACATTTGTTCTCCCACCTATTGGCAATCTTTCCTCTCTTTTGGAGATTTAAACTTATTGGATGAGGCTTAGGCTAAAAGGACTGGGGCTTTGTGTTAAATTATTATCTCAATTTTGGTTTTGTTTTTCTATTCTGGAGATTGAACCCAGGGCTTTAAATATCTTAAGCACACACTCTGCCATTGAGCTACACCTTCAAGTCTCCCAATATAATTTATGATAAGTAAATATTAAAACAGTCTGACAGTAGGAAAATGTTTCAGCACATTTGTGCATCTACTCAGTGAGCTATTAAGCAGCCTTTAATGTGATACAAAATAATATGGATATTTTATAGATGAATATCATAGCCAAAAATAGCATTAAAATAATACCTGCAGGTCTGGGGGAGATAAGGATGTAGCCCTGGGTTTGACCTCCAGCATCACTAAACAACAACAACATCAAAGTTATATCTATTATGATTACAGTTATATAAAACCAAAGTTGGGCCCAGGGATTTAGCTCAGTAGTGCCGCCACCTGCCTCACAAGCGCAAGGTCCCAAGTTCGATCCCTGGTACAAAAAAACCCAAAAGTTGTACAGAGAAAAGTCACCAGGAATGCTGGCTGTGATGGTGCACAGATATAATTTCAGCACTTTTGGAGGCTAAAACTGGAGGATCACAAGGTGGAGCCCAGCCTCAGCAATTTAGCAGGACCCTATCTCCAAGAAAAGGAGGGAGCATCTGGAGATTAGCATAGTATAAAGGCCCTGGATTCAATCCCCAGTACGCCCCAAAAAAAGGTTTAGAAGGAAAACATTCATACTGTATCAAGAATAATTATGTTGGACCTAAAATGTACCAGTAAACTCAATGAGGAAAAAAAAAAAGAAAAATTATGTTGGGGATTTAGCTCAGTGGTTCTGTCGCCTGCTTTGCAAGCACAAGGTCCTGAGTTTGATCCCCAGTACGAAGAAAAAAGAAGAAGAATTATGTTAAGCTGTTGTTTTCATTCTTTACTTTTTAAGTTTAAATGACTCTAGGAACTGTGCATGTGCATAAAATACAGTTTGATATTTTGACACATGTATACAATGTTCACAGTGCAAATTAGGGATGGTTCACATCCATCACCTCAAATATTTATCATTTCTTTGTGTTGAGAATATCATTCTCCATTTTTAAAATGTTTTATGTGCCTTTATTACTTCATAGTGAAAAGAATCCGAATATTTATTAGAAAAATGATCATACCCAAAAATATGCCGACAACCAATTTTTTTGTAAATGAAAAAGATAAATGATCTATACTTGGGCCAGGCATTTAGCTCAGTGGCACTGCGCTTGCCTCCCAAGCCCAAGGTCCTTGAACTTGGGACCCTGAGCTTGCGAGGCAGGCAGCAGAGCCACTGAGCAAAATCCCCAGCCCAGTTTGGTTTTTGTGAGACAGGGTCTCACCTTGTAACCCAGGCTGGCCTCAAACTCATGGTAATTTTCCTGCCTCAACCTCCTGTGAGCTAGGATTACAGGCATGTAATCCCTGGTACCAAAAAAAAAAAAAAAAAGGATCTGTACTTCACTTTTCCGTAACTCCATCTCATCCATCTCATTGGTTCTGCCTTACATCACTCAATTTCTCCTGGTAGTTATGACACGTGGATTCCAGCCAGTGAAATTGAAGCATCTGTGGAAGATGCTCCAACTCCAGAGAAACCTAGGAAGGTAAGCTTTTCTTGTAAAGCCCATGCTAGGAAGAATGATAGGATCAGAACACTCTGGAGGCAAAGCAGTACTCTTGGGCTTTTTCCACTGAGGTTCCTCATACAGAGCCATGGTTTCCATATTCTCAGCACAGTCTACCTCTGTGTGTTTGTGTATGTGTGTGAGTGAACATACTTCTTTTCGTGTGATAATGGGGATCAAACCCAAAGCCACACTACCACTGAGCTTTGTCTCCAGCCTCCTTTTTTATTTTATTTTTTATTTTGAGACAGAGTCTCGCTAAATTATCCTAGCAGGACTTGAATTTGCAATCCTTCTGCCTCAGCCTTCTTCAGTGCTGGGGTGACAGATGTGTGCCACAATGCCTAACTTGCCTTTGTACTTTAGGTTCATGCAAAGTGGATCCTGGATACAGACACCTTTAATGAATGGATGAATGAAGAAGACTATGAAGTAAATGATGAGAAAAACCCTGTCTCACGCCGAAAGAAGATTTCAGCTAAGACACTGACAGATGAGGTAAAAATCCCATTCTTTCTTCCCAGAGTCTTCACTGAGGATTATAGGCTGACCTTTGTCCCACTTTTCTGTCCTGCAGGTGAACAGCCCAGATTCAGATCGACGTGACAAGAAGGGGGGGAACTATAAGAAAAGGAAGTGCTCCCCCTCTCCTTCACCAACCCCAGAAGCTAAGAAGAAAAATGCTAAGAAAGGGTATGCCAACTCCTAATATGCCCAATATTCACCATTTTGTCCACACCATGTCAAAAAAAGAATAAATTCCTTCCTGTGGTTACTGGGCCCTGACCTGTGTGTGCTGTGACATTGGAGTTGTCCTGAGAGAAGGATGAGTCAGTTTTTAGCACCCAATTGTTTGTTGTAGTCCCAGCCCATAGTAAACTCAGTTTAATTACCAAAAGAAAAACCTTTGCCAACCCTCTTTACTCTACAGTTACTAGTTTGTGTGTGTTCATATCTACCTTTGGGATTCTATCTTGCTGTCCTTCCCTTGAACCCCAATTTCTGGGTGCTCATTGTGCAAGGATAACCAGATTCTCTTTCACTTTCTTTCCTTCCCAGTCCATCAACACCTTACACCAAGTCAAAACGTGGCCACAGAGAAGAGGAGCAAGAAGACTTGACAAAGGACATGGATGAGCCCTCTCCAGTCCCCAATGTAGAAGAAGTGACGCTACCCAAAACAGGTACTTGCCAGGCCAAATGCCTGGGCTCACCCACTCTCTGTCCTACCTCTACCATGCCACTCCTTGAGTGAGGTCATTTCCCCAAACTAGCTCCAGGTCTAGAGTAGCTTTCCCCTTCAGTGTAGATGGGTAGTGTAGATGGAAAAATATTCTCACTGCACATCCAAATATGAATTATGCACATACTTTGTGCCTAGTTATAACTGTGTCTGAACTCCTTTTGCTTTTTGTTTGTTTTTTGGTACTGGGGATCAAACTTGGGTCCTTCCGCTTGTGAGGCAGGTGGTGGAACTGCTGAGCTAAATTTCCAGTCCTATTTTTTTGTTTTTGATGGTGTTGGGAATGGAACCGAGGGCCATCCCAGTGAGCTATGTTCCCAGCCCTTTTTTTTTTTTTTTTTGGTTCCGGGGATTGAACTCGGGTCCTTGTGCTTGCAAGGCAGGCCACCAAACCACTGAGCTAAATCCCCAGCCGCCCAGCCTTTTTTTTGAGTTGGGCATGGTGGCACACATCTGTAATTCCAGCTCTCAGGAGACTGAGGCAGGAGGATTGCCCATAAGTGCAAGGCTAGCCTAGACTACATAGCAAGATCCTATCTCAAAAAACTGGAAAAAAATGTTTTTTTGAGCTAGGGTCTGGCTAAGCTTCTGAGTTGATGAGGCCAGGCTTGTCTGCCAACTCTGGGATTATAGGTTCCCTACCTCTGTGCTGAGATTGAACCCAGAGCCTTGTGCATGCTAGCATATATACTCTATCACAGAGCTGCATCCCTCGCCCTCCAAACCCTTGGTCTCACTATGTAGTTCAGGCTGGCCTTGAACTCACTTTGTAGCCCAGGTTTGCCTCAAATTTGCAGCAATCCTCATTTCCTGGTTCAGCTTCCCAAGTGCTAAGATTATAGGTGTGAGCAATCATGCCCAGCTCCAAACGTTTTTTATATCCTTTTTTTTTTTTTTTTTTTTTGAGATACTGGGGATCAAATTCAGGACCTTGTGCTTGTGAGGCACTGAGCTAAATCCCCAGCCCTACCAAACTCTTTTTGATTGTGATTCCCATGAATGAAATATATTCGAGCACACATTATATAGGTATATTATTAAACCACTACTTTAGGATTGTTATAAAACACACGTGAACACTACCTAAAAAAGGAAAAAACAAATATAAAAGTACATTCTGATAGTTTCTTTCCTTTTTTTTTTGGAACTGGGGATTGAACTTGGGACCTTGGGACCTAGTGCTTGCGAGGCAGGCAGCACCACTAAGCTGAATCCCGGCCCAGTTTCTTCCTGTATTCCAATGGATAATCTCTTGTGTTCCATGGAAGAGGCTCATTTTGGAGGACACTGCTCTACAGTACTGTTTACAGCCTCTTCTGTAGACTCGCCTTCATTATTCTTGGAGTATATTCCAAGATGGGTTTGGAGGGCTACTGAGAGTTCTCCCTTCTTCCTTGTCAATCAGTTTCCCTCTCTCTGTTTTTCTTGAGTTTTTGTATATTAATTCAATTAATAAAAGTATTCTCTACTTTCAAAAATGTTTAAAATCTGGCTAGAGTGAGTCAAATGTGGTGGTGCACACCTGTAAGTTCAGCACTTGGGAGGCTGAGGCAGGAGGGTTGCCATGAGTTGGAGGGCTACATAGTGATTTCAAGACCAGCCTGAATTACAAAAAGAAAGACTAAGCCGGGCGTGGTGGCGCACACCTGTAATCTCAGCACTCGGGAAACTGAGGCAGGAGGATCGCTATGAGTTTGAGACCAACCTGGCCTACCTAGTGAGTGCCAGGTCAGTCTCAACTACACAGTGAGACCCTGTCTCAAAAAAAAAAAAAAAAAAAAAAAAAAAAAAAAAAAAAGAAAGAAAGAAAGAAAGACTTATGAATATACACAGATAATTAAGTTACCCTTTGATTGAAGGAGAAGGTAAGTAAGTAGCAAGGGAGTTTTAAGCCCTAGACAGTCATGGCAAACCTTTTAGAGCTTTCAGTGATACAGATGGCCGGCTGAGGCATGCATGCTGTAGGTTTACCACCACTGCCCTAGAATAATTGAGACTAGAGGAATTTACTGTATTTTGTGATCAGATGGAGAAAGTTTTTAGAGAAAGTGAGATCTCTAAGATTTTTAACAGACATATGGGGGCTTGATCTTGGCATGTGTCTGATAAAATGACTCTCTTCTGACAGTCAATACTAAGAAGGACTCAGAGTCAGCTCCAGTCAAAGGAGGCACCATGACTGATCTAGGTAAGACAAGAAGCCCCAGGCAAAACAGTCAGTGCCCAAGACTTGGGGAGGGCTCAGCTACCACCTTGTCCCGACCCAGTGGGGATTCCAATAGGACTCTCCTGTCCTGAGGAGGCTCCAGCCTTATATCTTGCTGTCTTTCTCTTTCAGATGAACAGGAAGATGAAAGCATGGAGACCACGGGCAAGGTGGAGCCAGTTTAGACAGGCCCCACCTCTCTATGTGATTCTTATTTGTGATTATAAAGTGCCTTTTACTCAGACTTTTCCCCCCATAGACTAATTCTAGCTGTTGTTCGAAAGTCTGACCCCTTTAGTCTGGGGCCCATGGTGTTCATCCCCAGCTCCCATTGTGAAGTGTTCGCATTCCCAGGCTGTGGGAGAAGCAGAGGGTTGCTGGGGGAAATGGGAATGCTGTTGACCAGCAGCCTCCATACTTGTAGGATGAGGATGAGAGCAGTACTGGGAACAAGGGGGAGCAGACCAAGAATCCAGACCTGCATGAGGACAATGTAACTGAACAAACCCACCACATCATCATTCCCAGCTACGCTGCCTGGTTTGACTATAACAGGTACTGCTGTGACTTCTCCCTGAATCCTTATTTCCCTGCTTTCAGGGGAGTCAGCAGGTTGTTTCTTCTTCTGATATCTGCAAATAAGTTCTTTCTTCCTCAGTGAAATACACCAGGGTGCACTTGAGTTTTACAGGAATTCCTGTACTCTTTTTGAGTCCTCCAACTCTGGTGGGAAGTTCTCTCGAAGTTTCTAATTCCTACAGATGTGAGCTATTTGTCCACCCCAACTTCTGGGCTTTTCCTCCCTTTGGGGGAGGAATAAATGGTGATTTAAAAAAAGAAGTGGGTTCTATACCCAGACCCACACATGAAAAAAAGAAAGACAGAAAGGAGTTTTAGTATTTAACCACTCCGCTACAGAGTGATTTAGTTCAGATTCAGTCTATACTTTAAGAGCCTACGGGCACAGAGATGAAGATAGATCCTCCTATCACCTTTCTCCTGGACAGCCTTCTGAATCTATTCTGTCTTCTTTTGCAGTGTTCATGCTATTGAGCGGAGAGCTCTACCTGAATTCTTTAATGGCAAGAACAAGTCCAAGACTCCAGAAATGTAAGGAGATTTCAGCTCATAATTTTGTTTCTTCCTATTGTTCTGTGCGTGCTTCCTGATCCAGGAACACTCAATTTAGCCAATATTTCTTGAGTTCCATCCATGTACATGTTGTTCTGGGCCAGTGATGGTGAACCTTTTAGAGCTTTCAGTGACACAAGACACTTCCGCTGTGGCACATGTGCCATAGGTTCACCACAACTGTGCTGGACTCTCAAGAGATGTGATACTTGGTTGTTAGGCAGCTGCAGGTCAGCACTTAGATGCTTTAGGGTTTGCCAAAGGTTGGTATTAAGTGTTGTGTTCTGTGTAAAACATGTATCTGCTCCAGTGCTTCAGATACTTTTAATGGAGTTCAGAGCCTTTTAGTTCATAATTACTGTTATCATATAAAATGCAGATAAAAACTGGCAGGGTGGTGCATGCCTGTAGAATTAGCATTCTGGGAGGCTGAGGCAGGAGCTCAAGTCAAGCCTGAACAATTTAGCAAGACCCTGTTTTAAAATTAAAAAAAATAGAAAGAGCTAGAGGTGTGGTTCAATGCAAAAGATCCTGGGTCCAGTCTTCTACCACTGTGATAGAAGATAAAACACTAGCACAAACAATAGCTTTGAGTTTTTTTGTTGGTTGTTGGGATTTTTTTGTTTGTATAAAAAAAGTAGAAAGAGCTAGAGGTGTGGTTCAATGCAAAAGACCCTGGGTCCAGTCTTCTACCACTGTGATAGAAGGTAAAACACTAGCACAAACAATAGCTTTGAGTTTTTTTGTTGGTTGTTGGGATTTTTTTGTTTGTTTGTTTTTTGTTTCAGCAATGGCATAGTTTATTTGAAAAAGTGAAAATGGAGAGTGAGGGAGAAACTGGCTCTGCAGAGCGAGCTTGGGCCAAGTAAAAAGGAAAAAACAAGATAAAAGAACACTGTGGAAAAAGCAGGGGGGCTACTGTGAGGAAAGCCATGATAGACCAAACAGTAGCTTTGATTAAAGTATAAATGACTGTACCAGACTGGTCCCTAAGAGATTTGATAGGAAAGCAGAAGCAGCCTGGCATGGTAGCACACACCTATGATCCCAGTAGTCAGCAGGCTAAGGTGGGAGGTTTGCTGCAAGTTCAAGGTCAGCCTGGGTTACACAGTGAGTTCAAGAGCAGTCTGAACTACATGGTAAGACCTTGTCTTAAAAATCAAAAAACCAAAAAATACAACAAAAAAAGGAAAGCAGAAGGAACTAAGTGAGGGAAAAGCCAAGTCTGTGAATTAAGGAATGGAGAATCCTTCCTGAGAAGGAAGTATATATAAAGGGCAGGCTTGGAGCTCAGAAGTCTTTGTCTCCTTTAAGGTTTTACATCTACTCAAATCTGTGACTTTAGATGAGACTTGGCAGTTTTCTGAGATTATGAGCACTTAAGTGATAAGTCCGTGATGAAGTAGGTGAAACAGACCTAAACAAGTTTTCTTTCTACCTGTTCCCTTTCCTTCTAGCTGTTCCCCAGATTCTCCTCTTTGGGGTATCTTCTAATCTTACCACATTTCTTTCCCCATATCTTAGTATAGTTCTTTCTTCCCTTTCTTCCTGGGGAAAGCAGTGTATGTGAAAGGAAAGAAAAGTAGTGACCAGATGCCAGATTCAACATGACTGCTGGCTGAAATAGGTCCTGTATTCTTGGTATAAAATAGTAAATTATGGCAGCCAGGTGTGGTAGCCCACACCATAATCCCAGTACGCAGGAGGCTGAGGCAGGAGGATTGTAGCAAAAGTTCAAAGCAAGCCTAGACTACATAGTAAGTTTAAGGACAGACAACCTAAACTACATAGGGTGATCCTGCCTCAAAAAAAACAAAATAGGGCCAGGGATTTAGCTCAGTGGTTCCGCTGCCTGCCTCGCAAATGCAAGGACCCGAGTTCGATCCCTGGTACCAAAAAAAAAAAAAAAAAAAAAAAAGTAAATGATGGTAATTGCATCTGTTGAGATCTTACTATCACTTAGACACAATTCTAAGAGAAGTTTCCAATATTTTGACTGGTTTAATCTTTTTTTTCCCTGATACTGATTCCTGGGGGACACTCTACTACTGAGCTACATCCCTAGCCTTTTTATTTTTTATTTTGAGATAGGGTCTTGTTATGTAGCCCAGGCTAGTGTCAAACTGGCAATCCTTCTGCCTCAGCCTCAGCCTTCTGAGTAGCTGGCATTGCAAGTATGTACCACCATGCCTGGCTACTAATTTACTCTTCACAGCAAATGCAAAAGATTATTCCAGATTAGGAAACTGGGATATAGGCATCTTAAATCACTGGAGTCAGGTTACACAGCTAGAGCAGACAAACCAGGACTCACGTCTTTTAGTCTGGCTTATATCCTCAGAATTTATAATGGCTCCAATTTTTTGAGCCATAGTGTCAGGCACTATACTACTACTTTGCAGACCTCTCTAATCTACAACATATATCCCATTTCACAGGAGAGCAGTTTAAATTGCAAACATGGAAGTAACTTTCCAAAGCCTCATTGTAGAAGGGACTTGAACTTAGATCTTTTCAATTTGAAAATATATTCTTCAGTGCCACTTTGGCTAGCTGGATGTATGGAGAGAAACGTCCATTTAACGTCTAAATTCCTAAACAAGGGCATTTTTTGCTTGGGCCGGGGATTTAGCTCAGTGGTGCTGCCACCTGCCTTGCAAGCACAAAGTCCCGAGTTCAATCCCCGATATCCGCCCCCAAAAAAACCCCCAAAAAACAAGGGCATTTTTTCTTACCTTTAGATTCCTTGTTCAGAAGTTAGGAGATAGATAGCAAGACTTGGTACAGCACACTTATAATCCCAGCTCTTTGGAATGCTGAGGCAAAAGGATTACAAGTTCGAGCCCAGCCTGGCCAATTTAGTGATACAGCAAGACCTTGTAGCAAAAGGAAAAAAAGAGCTGGGAGTGTAGCTCAGTGTGAAGACTCTGGGTTTAATCCCTCACACTGAAAACAAACAAAGTTGGGTGAAACATCTCCAAGTATAATAAGGGGAAAACCACTTAATTAAAAAAACCCATGGAGAAAAAATAGAAGAAATGCTTGAATCCCTTGTATTTAGCACATCTCAGATACTCAGATTTTGTTTCGTTTTTTTGGTTTGTTTGTTTTTTTTGGTACCGGGGATCCAACTCAGGACCTTGTGCTTACGAGGCAGGTGGTCACACCACTGAGCTAGATCCCTGGCCCTAGATTTTGTAGAATGTGTTGTCTGTCTTTGTCACACAGGAAGGATCATCAGCTTATTTTTTTGGTACCGGGGATTGAACTTGGGACTATGTGCTTTCGAGGCAGGTGGTGGACCCACTGAGCTAAATCCCCAGCCCCATTAGCTTTTTTTTTGTTTTGTTTTGGTTTGTTTTTTGAGACAGAGTCTCACTATGTAGTTGAGACTGACCTGGAACTCACTGTGTAGCCCAGGCTGGTCTCGACCTCACAGTGGTCCTCCTGCCTCAGCCTCCCGAGTGCTGGGATTACAGGCCTGCGCCACCACGCCCGGCTCCATTAACTTTTTTAAAAAATAATTTTCCTACCCTTTAGCCCTCAACATTTATTTTTCTTCCTCTTCTTATTTATCTTTCTGTTTCTTCTAAGATACCTGGCTTATCGAAACTTCATGATTGACACTTACCGACTGAATCCCCAGGAGTATCTCACATCCACTGCCTGCCGCCGCAACCTGGCAGGTGACGTCTGTGCCATCATGAGGTGGGTCTCGCTGGTGAGAGGAGAAGGGAACATGAGGATTCTGCCCAAGTGTGTCTTGGAAGAACTAGAGATGCTTGTAGGAAATGGGAAATAGGCAAGAGAACAACTTTTAGAGGAAGGTTTGGGGACAGATTTGGGGAATGAGTGGCTTGAGGGATTGGAAATGTGAAATAAAGGAGAAGGAAGTAGTGTGTATTTACCAAAAGTAGTGCTTCAGTTTTACTGGCTCTCCAGGACTAGGAGATGTTTGGTAGACTGGAAGCTATGGAGAGAGGCCCAGGCTGGAATGTATACTTGGTGTCACTGATATTTAGATGGAGGATGGAGGGTGGAAATAGAGTGAACCGAGAAGAGGGTGAACGGCAAGGAGCTTTATGCTGCAGCCCCACTCCTCATGCACCTTTCTGGCTATCCTATGGGACCCTGACTGCCTTTTTCCTCACAGGGTCCATGCCTTCCTAGAACAGTGGGGTCTTATTAACTACCAAGTGGATGCCGAGAGTCGACCAACCCCGATGGGCCCTCCACCCACCTCTCATTTCCATGTACTGGCTGACACACCCTCAGGGCTGGTACCCCTGCAACCCAAGACCCCACAGGTAGAATGAAGGACTCGGGTTGGGGTTGGGGTGGGTAAGATTGGGCTTCTTTGGACTTTTCTTTGCTGGTTTTTTAGGGTCATGGTCCAGCAGTATGTTGAGGTTTCTTTCTTTTCCATTGGATACAAAGGGCCAGAGAAATAAGTCCTGTGTGTTAAGCTCCCTCTCAGCCTCATTATCTAAGGCTGTGAGGACTTGCTGAAGGATAAGAGTTGCTTCCTGTACTCAGGGAACAGGCAGGTTAATGTAGGGGATGGAACAGATAGAGGAAAATGGCTTGAAATTAACATTTGTGAACTTTTTCAACTTTGTCACGTTTCCCATATTTTTTCATTTTTGCGTCATGATTTTTGTCACCTCCATTTTTTAAAAATTTCCATTTCATCCATTACCAAAATTAAGAGAAAGGTTATGTGGCTTGCCCAAGGTCACAGAGGACCAAATCTAGGACTAGAACCTAATCGCCCAGCTCCTAAGAGAACCTTAAAGATATATGTGAATACAAGTGGATATCATGCCAGCTACATGTGTAATTAATCATGGAGGGCGCATGAAACAGTGGCATGAGTGCCTCCAGAGCTTGTGGGCTGCCCAGCATTTGGTCTTGAGGTCTCTAGGGCCTTAGCCTAGCCATTTCCTGCCCAGCCTCCATGACGCTAAGCTCTGTCCCCCAGGGCCGCCAGGTTGATGCTGATACCAAGGCTGGCCGGAAGGGCAAAGAGCTGGATGACCTGGTGCCAGAGACGGCTAAGGGCAAGCCAGAGCTGGTAGGTGGGGTGCAGACCCCGCTGGGCTTCTTATTTGCCCCTTTATTGGGGGACCCCTGCCCGGGAAGAAGAGACATGAGAGCAGAGGAGCTGCAGCAGTAAGGGAGGAAGTCCCACCCAGGGGCATCCCTGGCTTTGGGAAGGAAGCTCCTTCTGTCTGTTTTCTCTCTCTGTCTGCCCCTGACTCCTATGATCACTTGTACTCATCTCTTTCTTTCTCCTCCACAACTAGCAGAGCTCTGCTTCCCAGCAAATGCTCAACTTTCCTGACAAAGGCAAAGAGAAACCAACAGACATGCAGAACTTTGGGCTACGTACAGACATGTACACAAAGAAGAATGTCCCCTCCAAGGTATGAGGTGTAGCTGACCTGGGGTGCAAAACCTTTCCTCCTCAGAGGTCACAAGCTTCTCCTTCCTGACCTGTCCATGTTTCCCCTACAGAGCAAAGCTGCAGCCAGTGCCACTCGAGAGTGGACAGAACAAGAGACTCTGCTACTCCTAGAGGTAATTGGGGAAAGGAAAAGAGTTCTGTGAAAACAGAAGTGACCAGGGTGCCACTTTCACTTGTGAGTGGAGAGAACTCATGGAGTCTGGTGCGAGCAGGGTGTGATCTTGCCCCAGTCTCCCCTTCCTCATGCCTGCCCCAGGAATAGTTCCAGGCCAGGCATTTTGGCTACTTCACTAACTCCATGTCCTTTCTTAGTGCTACTTGGAGATCCCCCTTGGACCTAGCAGAGTATGCAAATACAGAACACAGAGAGCTTTGAAGCCAGCTGTCCTTAGTAGGATGGGGGGATTTGACCTTCGAGGAAAGTGGCTAAGTAAGCGGAGTTATGTCTCCACCACTACCACCAGGCCCTGGAAATGTACAAGGATGACTGGAACAAAGTATCTGAGCATGTGGGAAGCCGCACACAGGACGAATGCATCTTGCATTTTCTTCGCCTTCCCATTGAAGACCCGTATCTGGAGGACTCAGAGGCCTCACTGGGCCCCCTGGCCTACCAGCCCATCCCCTTCAGTCAGTCGGGCAACCCTGTTATGAGCACTGTTGCCTTCCTGGCCTCTGTCGTCGATCCCCGAGTCGCCTCTGCTGCTGCAAAGTCAGCCCTAGGTAATTGGGGGGTTCTCAGCCTTCTTAGTTTGATTTTGAAGAACCAGATACTCAAACTGTGAAACCCTCTCAAATTCAGCTGGCCTTTTGGCCTTGTCTGTGCTGGCCTCTACTTAGGGACCTGTCTAGGGTCCATTCTGGTTTTAGAGAAAGAGATGGGCTTGTGAGGAAGCTTTCACAGGGATAGCCAGAACTGCTCACCTGTGCTGTCCTAGCCTCATCCTCTCTGGGTCTTGCAGAGGAGTTCTCCAAAATGAAGGAAGAGGTACCCACAGCCTTGGTGGAGGCCCATGTTCGGAAAGTAGAAGAAGCAGCCAAAGTGACAGGCAAGGCAGACCCAGCCTTTGGTCTGGAAAGCAGTGGTATTGCGGGAACCACCTCCGATGAGCCTGAGCGCATTGGTAAGGCCTGGCAAGTTTCCAGATTTCTCCCCTATCACCAAGAGCCAGAACCAGGCTCCCTGTGCCATCTCTGCCTTACACTGGCGTCAAAGCAAAATATGAATGGGAGAATTGGTGGGTTTTTGTATTTTCCCCAGGACTTCACCTTAGAGGCTTTGGCTCCTACTGGTCCTCTCCCTGAGGTTTTGGCTGGTGGAAGGGCTGTTGGAAATATGTGGCACAGACAGATCTGTTATCAGACACCTTCCCTTTCCTTTCCTTCCCCATGGGCCCAGAGGAGAGCGGGACTGATGAGGCACGGGCAGAGGGCCAGGCCGCAGATGAGAAGAAGGAGCCCAAGGTATAGAGGGATTGATGGACCTTGGGCTGGGAGGGGGTGCCAGGTGCTACTCTGTGGTGCTAGGGAAGCGAGCCAGGGGCAGTCTTCTGCAGCCAGATTGCCACTAAAGTAAGAGGACTAAAGCCAGTCCCCTGCCTGGGCCCTTTGTGTGAGCATTCTTCTCTTCAGTGATGTCTTCTTTTCTTCTACTGGGACTTCAGGAACCCCGAGAAGGAGGCGGGGTCGTAGAGGAGGAAGCAAAGGAGAAGACGAGTGAGGCTCCCAAAAAGGATGAAGAGAAAGGGAAAGAAGGTGACAGTGAGAAGGAGTCAGAGAAGAGTGACGGGGACCCCATCGGTGAGCCTCCCAGAATGGTGGGTGTGGGGGACAGGAGAGAACTGTGCAGCTGTCGCCTGACTTAACCCTTGTTCTGGCCTAGTTGATCCTGAGAAGGAGAAGGAGCCCAAAGAAGGGCAGGAAGAAATGTTGAAGGAAGTGGTGGAGTCGGAGGGGGAAAGGAAGACAAAGGTGGAGCGGGATATTGGTGAGGGCAATCTCTCCACTGCTGCTGCCGCTGCCCTGGCTGCTGCTGCAGTGAAGGCCAAGGTGAGGCCAGTCCATTTATTTAAATAATAAATTTATTTATTTATTTATTGTTGTTTTTTTGAGATAGGGTCTTGCTATATAATTCAGACGGGCCCTGAACTCAAGGTGATTCTCCTGCCTCAGCCTTATTTTTATTTTATTTATTATTTATTTATTTATTATTTTAATTTTTTTTTTTTGGTTTTTTGAGCCAGGGTCTCACTATGTAGTTGAGACTGACCTGGAACTCACTGTGTAGCTCAGGCTGGTCTCAAACTCACAGTGGTCCTCCTGCCTCAGCCTCCCGAGTGCTGGGATTACAGGCGTGTGCCACCATGCCCAGCCTTCCTTTTTATTTTTAGAAATAAAAAAGCTAGTCATTTCTTTCTCTAAACTTCTAAAATCTCTTACCTTTTGGGTCTGTTTCCAGCCCTGTAATTATTTGACTCTGTGTGTGTGTGTGTGTGTGTGTGTGTGTGTGTGTGCGTGCGTGCGCACGTGCGCGCGCGCGCGCCCACGCGTTTCTGGGAATTGAATCCAGGGCCTTTATAATGAGCTACATTTCCAGTATTTTTTTAAAATTTTAAGACAGGGTCTTTGCTATGTTGATAAATTTCTCAAGCTGACCTAAAACTTGTAATCCTCCTGCCTCAGCCTCCCAAGTAGCTGGTATTACAGGCATGCACCCTCATGTCCAGCTTGATTTGCTTTATCCCTTGTTACTTTTTTTTGAGACAGAGTCTTACTATGAAGTTCAGGCTGGCCTTGAATTCAGTCTGTAGCCCATGCTGGCCTTGAACTCATCAGTCCTCCTCTTCACCACCACACCCAGCTAGCACATTTATTCTTAAACTTGCCAGAATCTGCTTGTCCTGTTTTCCCTGGAATGTCTGCAGCTGGGTCCTCCCAGTGATGTGCTATCCCACCCCTTCTTGCCTAGCACTTGGCTGCTGTTGAAGAGAGGAAGATCAAGTCTTTGGTGGCCCTGCTGGTGGAGACCCAGATGAAAAAGTTGGAGATCAAACTCCGGCACTTTGAGGAACTGGAGACGATCATGGACCGGGAGCGAGAAGCAGTGAGTAGCCTCCCTCCAGGGGTAACGGTGTCCTGGAACCCACCACAAGACCTTGGGCTTTGCCCTAGTTAGAAGGGGGGCGGGCACAGCAAGGCACAAAGTCTGAAGCTGAGGCTGATAGGGAGTAGGACAGGCCAGGCAGGGGAAATCAGCCCTGGGTAGTGAAGGACATGAAAGCTGAAGGTGGAGGTCCCACGGAATGTCAGCTTCACAGAGCAGGGATGTTAGTTGGACTTTTTGGTTGCTGCACTCCAGCTCCACTTCACTAGTAATAAACTCTCAATAAATATTTGTTAAGTTAATGCTTTGAAAGGATGGTGAGAGGGTATGGGCTTCAGATCAATGGATAACCTTACATGGCTTTCCGAGAACAGTTAAAATTTCTAGTCAGTTTTGAAGTAAGATAAAAACATGAATTGACAAGAACAGGAAGCATTTTCCAAATTAAAGATAAATTCAAAGCTTTGGAGCTGCAGTGAGCCAGGACTACCATCCGATTACTGCAGTGAGACGCTGTCATGGAATTCAGAGCGAGTGAGTGGGAAGGACAGAGGAAACACAAGGTTTACATTTGGGGAACCACCAGCATGAGAGATGGGGTCTTTCAGAAGACAAAGCAAGGAGCAGGGCATTTGTCTAAAGATCTTCTGAAAATTTAGTAACAGCACTCATTGGCTTTGGCAGCTGGAGTATCAGAGGCAACAGCTCCTGGCTGACCGGCAAGCCTTCCACATGGAGCAGCTGAAGTACGCAGAGATGAGGGCCCGGCAGCAGCACTTCCAACAGATGCACCAACAGCAGCAGCAGCCACCTCCAACCCTGCCCCCAGGCTCCCAGCCCATACCCGCCACAGGGGCTGCTGGGCCACCCACAGTCCATGGCCTGGCTGTGGCTCCAGCCTCTGTGGCCTCTGCTCCTGCCGGCAGTGGGGCCCCTCCAGGAAGCTTGGGCCCTTCAGAACAGATTGGGCAGGCAGGGCCAACTGCAGGGCCACAGCAGCCTCAACCAGCTGGAGCCCTTCCACCTGGGGCAGTCCCTCCAGGGATCCCCCCCCCTGGACCCCATGGTAAGTGGTGAGTTCCAGAGCTCTTGTTGGCTACAGGAATCCAAGCAAATGCCCCATTCCCCCCCGCCTTTTTTTGTACCAGGGATTGAACTCAGGACCTTGCGCTTGCAAGGCAGGCAGCAGCACCACTGTCCTAATCCCCAGCCCATCCCAGTTCCCTTTGAAGGGATTACTTCATGGGTGCATGGACTGGTCTCAGTTTCTACCAATGGGCCCACCTCTGTTATGTCCCTAAGCCAGTAGGGATTTCTATCCTAACCCAGACCATTGGAATTTTGTTCCAAGAATTTACCATTTATTCTAGTGTCCAGAAAAGGAAAGGTGATACCAGTTTTTCCTTGCTGTGAAAATAAGTTGTTAAGCGAGATTTTACGCCTCTAACCTTATCTATCCCTTTTCTCAATTCTTAGGCCCCTCACCGTTTCCCAGCCAACAAACTCCTCCCTCAATGATGCCAGGGGCAGTGCCAGGCAGCGGGCACCCAGGCATGGCGGGTAATGCTCCTTTGGGTTTGCCTTTTGGCATGCCGCCTCCTCCTCCTCCTGCTCCATCCATCATCCCATTTGGTAGTCTAGCTGACTCCATCAATATTAACCTCCCCCCTCCTCCTAACCTGCATGGGCATCACCACCATCTCCCATTCGCCCCGGGCACTCTCCCCCCACCTAACCTGCCTGTGTCCATGGCGAACCCTCTACATCCTAACCTGCCGGCGACCACCACCATGCCATCTTCCTTGCCTCTCGGGCCGGGGCTCGGATCCGCCGCAGCCCAGAGCCCTGCCATTGTGGCAGCTGTTCAGGGCAACCTCCTGCCCAGTGCCAGCCCACTGCCAGGTGAGAAGGGGCCAGGAGGGGAGAAGGGAAAGGGAGATGGGTCCACAGGGAAGCAGGGAGGGCAGGTGGGGAAGGGGTCAAATATTAGAATTTCCACAATCCTTTTTTTGAACACTGTGGTAAAATTAGAATACAGGAGGAAGGGCCTCTCTGGCCCTCCACCAGGCCCCAGCCTGGCAGCTGCCACCTCTAGGATGACGTTGGGGCCTTTCACTGGTGGGTCATGGAGGAGTCCTGTGGCACGGAACATCTCAGTTGTAACCCTGAAAAGCAGATACCTGTTTGCATGATGATTGGCATACCTTTGTTCTCACCACTTTCAGATGCCCCATTTAGAGTTCCCTTAGGGGCAGGAGTATGATTTGGAGTGAATCAGTTTTCCCCAGTGTAAGGTGGAGCAGGGCGTGGGAAAAGCAAGTTGTACGTTGTGGGTACCTCATTCATCTACCTGCCCACTGCATGCCATTCCTGGTTCTGTGTCTGTGCATGTAGACTAGGTCTGGACCCTTCCCTCCTGCGTGCCCCAGCTGATTTGTGTTCCTTTTCTCCACAGACCCAGGCACACCCCTGCCTCCAGACCCCACAGCCCCGAGCCCAGGCACAGTCACCCCTGTGCCACCTCCACAGTGATGAGCCAGCCAGACACCTTTCCCCTCACCCCCCACGGAGATCTTGGTTCCAGAAACAGCCTTCCCCCACCACTGGGACCCTTCCCCAGCTGGAGAATTCAGCACTACGTAAGGAAAGCTCCTCCTGCCCCTCCACAGCCCCCACATGCCAACAGAGGCAGGCACTTTTATATCGGATTTTCAAAGACTTCTGTTTAAAAAAGATGTTTCTAATGTCTGGGAGAAAGGATAGGATGGGATGGGTGCCCTCAGAGGGCTGGGGAAAGGTGTTTATATAAGGTTCTACTTAACCACTTCCAAGGGTGCATTCCCCTCAGAACTACTGCATTTTTTTTTATAAAAAAATTTAAGCTCTTTGAAAGGAAGTAGATTTTAAAAAGCCACATTGGAGCTCCCTTCTCAAAATTAACAGACTTTTACATTCTTTTGTGTGGGGAAGAGTGATGGTTTTAAGAAAGTGGGATAAGGTTGTAGGGAGACTCTGGGGATTGAGTAGGATACCAAACCCCAAGCCCTTGACTGAGTCAGTTCCTCTCATCCATTTCCCCACCATTCATTCATACTAATCTCTCCTGCTGCTTCCCCATTGTTGCTGTTTTAGGCCACCCCAGCTCAACCAATGATCCCTTTTCCCTCTGAATGTCAGTTTTGTGTTTGTTTTTAAAAGTCATCTGCTTAGTTGATGTCAGCGTTACGTGATTTTGGGAGGGGACTTACTTTGGGGGGGATTCCTGTGATGGCTAACAGAGAATGGGCAGTAGGGGCAGTTCTTCCCTTCCCTGGGTTGTATCTGTGAGCTCCTGAAAGGCATGGAGGAGGAAGCTATGAGAGGATGGGAGTTTTTAAAACCTGAAAGTTCTGAAAAGCACTTAAGCACCTCCTTATGGCTCGGGTGGTAGCTCCCCTAACCTCTGTTCTCTCCCACCAAGACTGGCAGAACCTTAATGATAGCTCACTGGTTCCCCAGATGAGGACACAGGTTTGGGAGCAGGGCAGCTTGGCTCCACTCCTCATATTCCAATGCTTCCCCGTTGCAGTTCTTCCTTTCTTCACCCTTGACATAAAGGTAAATGGGAATGTAGGCTCTACACCAATCTCTGGTTCCTTCTACCAGTCCCTTTATCCCTCATGTCCCTGTTTCTCTTCCTCTGCGTCTTGGCACCTTCTGTTCAAAGTTCTCTGTAAATTTTCTTTCCCTTTTTTCTTTTTTTTTATAAATTAATTTGCTTTCAGTTTGATCTTGTGTATGCCTTTGTGTTCTCTTACCTGTGGCTGTCAGGTAGGGGTATCGGGCTTGGGTAGCATGCCTGGAGCTCCTCACAGGAGCATTCACTGGCCCTGGAGAGGCACTGTATATGCCACAAGGCCCACCACAAAAGACTCAGGGCAGCTCAGCTCTCAGGGCTGTGCAGTTACAGCTGCAGAGGCTCTCACCTGCCCTAAAAATAGCTAGTAAAGACTTGGAAGGACATCCCCACAACATGGAGATTTTGTATCTTTAGCCTTTCAGAAGTAGTAGCTTCATTCTTTCCCTTATTAGGGAGGAGGCAGGCCATCACCTAGTTGTTGTTGGCCCCAGCCCTGCCACTGTGACAGACAGGCTCGGGCAGTGCTAATATGGCTTGGCTTTAGCTCCACTAAACACTCAGGCTTCTCCACAAAAGGCCTTCAGTGCTTGGGAGGGCCAGAAGATTCAGCCTGATATGGGATGGAACAAAAGGATGCCCCCTCCACAAACATGCCAAAAAGTAGATGGAAGGGGGCCAAGGACTTAGCTTAGTGGTTCTGCTGCCTGCCTCAAAAGCACAAGGACCTGAGTTTGAGCCCCAGTACAAAAAGCAAATGGTCAGCCTTGATCCTATGGGGATTTATGGCTTTCCTGATTGCCCAAGGGGAGAGGTTTGCATCATGAATATATGGGGCCAGCATTTCTTCCGTGAGCCAACACAGATACTATAGTTCCATCCCTAAACCCTGTTCATTGGCCTTCGGCAGTGGGCTCTGTCTCAGGTCAGAAATCATCACCATCTACCCTTTCCTCCCCTTCACCTGCTGAGGAAGGAAAGCAGAACCAAGTAGGGGCAAAGAGCAAGTTTATTTGGTGAATGCCAATGGCAAACGTCATCCAAGAAACCAGACAGGAAAGGTGCTGTAACCAGGGAACTTAGGAAGCCTTTGGGGCCATATACAAATCTCACACAGGGCAAGGCACGGGCTCGGGATACTGGGAATGTCTTCAGCCATTCAGCACCATCCGGACAAGCTCTGTGGAAAGAGGTGCAGTGAACCAGGGACCAGGGCTGAGAGGGGGATGCCAGGGGCCAGGAGACTACAGGACTGTGAAGGTAGCATGATAGGGAACATGCCTACAGCAACCAACCTTAGGGTCAGTTTGCAGAGCAGCCACCTTGATCTGACCAGTTCTCTGCCCCTGGCTTCCCTCCCCCAGCTTTTAGTCCCCCATCCCATCCTGAGCAGTAAGAACACAGCAGAGGCAGAAAGGTTCTTAACTACACCTAAAGCTACTGTCAGCCACTGGAGGGAGGAGAGGACAAGAGTTTGGGTTAGGGTACCTCCAAGCTGCCCAGCAAGGGGTCAGGGGGCGTTCAGCTACAGCAGCAAAATGAGGTAGGCAGCCCTCCCCATATGCAACTCTCCATGCTCCAGGGCCACAGGACCACCCTAAAGCAAGACTGCTCAACTGGTGAGAGGTCCCACACACCAGCACCCACGACCCTGTAACAACCGAGGAGAGAAGTAAGGAGGTACCACACTCCCAAGCTGCTTTCCTCTTTGAGGAATTCCCTCCCTTCTGTAACCAGCTCCATGCAGAAACATGCCAGAGAGAAGTCAGGTGGGAGTAGGCAAGGGCAGGGACTAGAGAGCACTGGTTGAGAAGAAAATGAAACACTGGGGAGATCAACTAGAAAAGGAGAGGCTGGGAGGAGCCGTACCCGCCCCATGGGCCCGTCACCCCGACAGGATATGCCTCACAAACGCTGCAGGAAGGAAGAGACATTAATGGTGAAGACAAGACACAGACATGGGGTGAAAGGGTCAGGCAGTGGGGAACAGATACTCCGTTTACTTTCTAACCCCCTGCCTTACCCCCGTACCCCTTCCTGTCATACACCCAACCAACCCCTCCCTGGGATAGGCCTTACTTCTAGCCTTTTTGGCTCTTTTAGAGCCCAAGTACAGGGATAAGGAAAACTCCAGGTATCACTGCTAACTCCACTAGAGCCTCAGTTCATCCCTCACCTTCATAGTTGATACAACCATTGCTGTCCTCATGCCCTGCTACCAGCATTTCCACTTCCTCCTCGGTCATCTTCTCCCCTGCGGAAGAAAAGAAAGCATTTTAGGAGTTGGCTGAGAAGTAAGGTCTAAGGATGACGCCTTAGCCCCAAGATAAAGGCAAAGAGTCTTACCCAGTGTGACTAGGACGTGACGGATTTCAGCACCCATGACAGTGCCATTCCCTTCCTTGTCAAACACCCGAAGGCCTTCAACATAATCCTCGTAGGTTCCCTGGTCCTTGTTCTTGGCCACAGTCTGCAGCATGGGCAGAAAGTGCTCAAAGTCCAGTACCTTCACATTCATCTCTGCCACACAGGAGAGCAAGAGTTAGGTGAAAGAATTCACGAGGTCAGGATTATGGGGATGACTACGAAACAGGGAAATCTCTTTGGGGCCTATGAAGATAAAGTGAAGCTCTTAGCTGAAGAACTTGGGCCCACTACCACACTGCTCTTGAGGATGCTCACCATCGCTCTTGGGGTTCCCCAGGACCTTGAGCACCTCGGCATTGGTGGGGTTCTGGCCCAGGGCCCTCATCACATCCCCACACTGGCTGTACAGGATCTTGCCATCGCCTGTTCTGTCAAACAGCTGGAAGGCCTCCTTGAACTCTGAGGAGTGAGATGCACGTCAGCACTGGAAACAGGGTTAATCCAGACTCTTCCTCTGAGCTGTGCTGCCCAGCCACCTTTGTTCGCGCTGCTGAAACCAACTTTCTACCCTCCTGTACACCCGAGGCTGCTAAAGAGATCTATTTATCTTTCTGCCACTCAGATGTCCCACGAAAAGACTGCCTTCCTCCCCTCTTTGGGCCAGGTACTATTTACACAGGCCCTTGGCAAGCAGCAAGCCTGTTCAGCCTCCTCACTGCTGCTACTACTCAGGGTAGGAATTTGCCACCGCCCAGTCAGGGTCCAGTCCTTATAAGGAAGTGGGAACAGCAGCCTAGCATTAGGGTCATCCTAGCCTGCTACTTCCCACCCTTCCTGGACCGAGACCTTCCAGAGACTGGAGCTATAGTCATGTTCTTAGTAAACTCCCCTGTCCTCATCTTTACAACATATCAGGTCACTGCTCTTCACTAGCTTCACAATTTCAAGCTGGGAGAGGGGGACAGTTACAGAAGATCAGCAGTAGAAGTAGCTGATGAAGGGACAGCTTAAAACACCGCAAACCCCACACACAGCAGGCATTAGCTGACCAAATCGTTTCACATACCCACACCACCTAAAACTCACCCAGTGCTTGGGGCTCAGATCTAGAGTGTAAGGGGAAGGAAGAAAGAATGAGAAAGGAACATGGAGGGTCCAGGTGGGAGAAAGGAATCCAGGAGGTACTCTCCAGGTGACGCTAAGGAGATGACAGATTAGAGTTACAGTAGGTGGTAGGGGGTGTTCCTCAAGCTAAGGGTGAGCTCCGTTGGGGTCACAGACAACCTACCTGCTGTCTGATCCTCGGTAAAGTCACACTGCTCGGAGAAGAAGGGAGTGGTCAGCAACGGAAGTCCAATCCCTCCAGCTTCTATCCCACTCCCACAAACTCCTGTTTCAGGCCTGGGGAGTCGCCTTCCAGCAGCGCAGCGCCCTAGACTTTGCAACCCCCCTACCACCTTTCAGACCCTCGGGTTCCCTTTGCCCGCCCCCCGTTCTCACCCCCTGCCCATGACTCCCCTCCTCGCCCCCAGACCCCTTATCTGCCAGGCGCGGTGCCCACCATCTTGACCGCCGAGCTCTGCGGGACCTGCAGTAATGGCTCCGACTTCTGGCCCAACCCTAGTCTTAGTACGTCCCAATGACGTCACCCTCCGTGGACCCAGCCAATGGGCACCGGGGCCGAGCTCAGGCAGAGGCATTGCTACACTAGTACGGATGTGGGCGGGGCCTACTGTGGTCCTTTCTCCGGAGCAGCCGCACCTGGGCCTGGAAACCGCGAACCCGCGAAGGGTGCGGCGCCAGGAAGTGTCCCTCAAAACGCGCAGAAATCAGAGGCTGAGTTTAGCAGAGGTGCGTGTCCTCCCTATCCTCCTTACCCCCCTGAAGCAAACAACAGTCTGGAGACTAAGGAAGGAACTGTATCTTTATTTTGAAACAATGTGGCCTCCTGGCAGGAAGGAGCTTCTGCCTGCTGCGTGGTGGGTGGGGGAGTGTCCGGCCCCACTGGATCTGTGGAGAAAATTAAAGTTTGCCAAGCCCTGGCGCTTGTGCAGCCATCGGACAAGGAAACTCATTGTCCTGATAGCTGCGCTGGCTCAAAGGGGAAACTTGCCTCTCAAGAGGTGGGCATCTGGAGGGCCTGCCTGTGGAGCTCAGACGCTTAGGATGTGCTTCAGGAAGGCTGCGAGAGAAGGCAGAGGGCTTCAGCAGCCCTTTGGATAGCCCATCGGTTTGTAGGTAACTCAGGGTTCCCACACAGCATCCTCCCACCTCCCCCAGCCCTTCTGCTCCCAACCCCTCACCCTCATAGTTGATGCAGCCGTTGCTATCCTCGTGTCCTGCCAGAACAGTCTCCACCTCCTCCTCAGTCATCTTCTCTCCTGAACCCCAAACAGCATTGGAGCCCTGGCCTTCCCTCCCTCACCTACCCAAGCCACTGTTCAAGATGGTAACCCTGTTCCCCTACCCTGCCTCTTGCTTTTTGTATCACCTGCCTTGAAACTGGTAAAAGCTTTGACAGACAAGGAAACTGAAGATGGGAGGACTGAGACAAGTATGGGACCTCAGAAAACAAGTATCTCCCAAATCGAGAATTTGGGTCTCCCACCTGCTTCCCTTTCCTCTGCCCTGTAGGGAATACTTTAGCCTTGGGTGGAGCAACTCCCTCTGACTCTGCTCCCATGGCTCCTGCCCCATAGCTATGTCCTGACCATGACCTGCAGAACAGTAATCTCCCTGGCTCTGCCTACCTTGCCAGCCTTCTTCCTGGTTCACTCCCAACTCTCCACCCCATTAGAGTTCTGGTCCCTGTCTCACCGAGGGTGGTGAGGACATGTCTGAGCTCTGCGCCCATGACTTTGCCGTTTCCCTCCTTGTCAAACACCCGAAGTCCCTCCAAGTAGTCTTCATATGTGCCTTGATCCCGGTTCTTGGCCACTGCCTGGAGCATTGGCAGGAATGTCTCAAAGTCCACACGTCGGGACTTCAGCTCTGGAGGTTCAAGAAGTGAGAGAGGTCAGTTCCCACCCCTACCACAACAGCTTCATCCTCTTCAGCACCAGGATTTACTTCTGCCCACATTTTTTATTTTCCTGGTACCAGGGATCAAACTCAGAACCTTGCGTTTGCGAGGCAGGCATGGTGCCAACTGAGCTAAATCCCTGGCCCAAAATCAACATAGTGATACTCATTTTTTTTTTTTTTCCTGGTAGCAGGGATAGAACTCAGTACTTTTCATTTGTGACGCAGGCATGGTGCAACTGAGCTAAGTCCCCATCCCTTACTTCTTCCCACATTTGACAGTTTTTAAAATCCTGAGATCCACCCTAGCATCCTCTGGCATCTTACCAATATTCTAGTTGAAAATGGGGGCAAAGGTTATAGTTCAGTGGTAGCAAGGTCATGGGGTTGATCTCTAGCACTACAAAAAGAATATGAAAACCCACTTGTTCCAAGCCTTCTCACCATCACTCTTGGGGTTCCCCAGGACCTTGAGCACCTCAGCGTTGGTGGGGTTCTGGCCCAGGGCCCTCATCACATCCCCACACTGGCTGTACAGGATCTTGCCATCACCTACTCGATCAAACAGCTCAAAGGCCTCCTTGAACTCTGAGATATAAGGAAGGGTCAGTGTTAACCAGTGGTTCCTATCACCCTTAGATGGAAAGGAGGTTCAGAAACTACTTGCCAGAGGTGGGTAAAACAAGGGAGAAAAGGAGCACGGTGTTGGGTTTCAAGGTTGGGACTGGAGCTAGGGAAACAGAAAAAGGATCTGACTAGGAGCTTAGGACTGGACAGTGGGCTTAGGGAACCAGCTTAGTCTCACCCTCCAGCTGGTCCTTGTTAAACTCGATCTGTGGAAGAAAAGAGCAGGTGAAGAGAAATGACAGGGCTTATTCGATCCCTCTCCAGTATTCCTCCCAACCAACTGGCAGCCATTTCTGGGAGAGGCCCAAAGGGTCCAGGCTGGGAGTTCAGCCACCTCCTACCCATTCCCAGCTCCAGGCCCTGGGAGAATCCCAAGAGAAGGAATTATGGGGGGAGGGTTCCTGGGAACAGGGTTAATCCCATGCCACCTGTTCCCCTCCCTCTACTGCCCTGAGCCCTGCATCCCTCACATAACTGGGGGCTGAACAAAGGCTAAATTTACTCCTGGCCCCCAGCTGTGATTGTCTAACAAGTTTGTCCTCTTCAGCCTCCCCTCCTGGTGTTCAGGGCTGCAGCCTTTTGAGTTGAAGAGCCAGCCAGAGACAGGCAGCAGCTCTCTCCACCTTCAAACTGTCCTCAGAACCCAGGTGTTCTCCATTTCGCAGTCTCTGCCTCCAATAGTGGGTCAGCAGTGTGAGTATAGATGCGTATTAAGTTAGAGAAAGCAGCAAAGACAACAGCAAAGCCATAAACCTGGATGCTTCCCATTGGGAGACTGCAAGAACCTCCAATCTCATTGTAGTGCTCATTTGTTCTCCACCTACCATACTCCCTAATCTCCAGGCTGTGTCCCACCCTTAAACCATCCCCTATGAGTTCTCTCCTCACTCTCCTAGGACTTACCACCACTTTGGAGAGATCGATAGGGGGCTCCTGGGTTTTCACAGCAGCCTGAGGGACAGCTGGCTCAGCCTTGGTCTTGGCTGGAGGGGTCCCTGCTAACTCGATCAAACAGCTCAAAGGCCTCCTTGAACTCTGAGATATAAGGAAGGGTCAGTGTTAACCAGTGGTTCCTATCACCCTTAGATGGAAAGGAGGTTCAGAAACTACTTGCCAGAGGTGGGTAAAACAAGGGAGAAAAGGAGCACGGTGTTGGGTTTCAAGGTTGGGACTGGAGCTAGGGAAACAGAAAAAGGATCTGACTAGGAGCTTAGGACTGGACAGTGGGCTTAGGGAACCAGCTTAGTCTCACCCTCCAGCTGGTCCTTGTTAAACTCGATCTGTGGAAGAAAAGAGCAGGTGAAGAGAAATGACAGGGCTTATTCGATCCCTCTCCAGTATTCCTCCCAACCAACTGGCAGCCATTTCTGGGAGAGGCCCAAAGGGTCCAGGCTGGGAGTTCAGCCACCTCCTACCCATTCCCAGCTCCAGGCCCTGGGAGAATCCCAAGAGAAGGAATTATGGGGGGAGGGTTCCTGGGAACAGGGTTAATCCCATGCCACCTGTTCCCCTCCCTCTACTGCCCTGAGCCCTGCATCCCTCACATAACTGGGGGCTGAACAAAGGCTAAATTTACTCCTGGCCCCCAGCTGTGATTGTCTAACAAGTTTGTCCTCTTCAGCCTCCCCTCCTGGTGTTCAGGGCTGCAGCCTTTTGAGTTGAAGAGCCAGCCAGAGACAGGCAGCAGCTCTCTCCACCTTCAAACTGTCCTCAGAACCCAGGTGTTCTCCATTTCGCAGTCTCTGCCTCCAATAGTGGGTCAGCAGTGTGAGTATAGATGCGTATTAAGTTAGAGAAAGCAGCAAAGACAACAGCAAAGCCATAAACCTGGATGCTTCCCATTGGGAGACTGCAAGAACCTCCAATCTCATTGTAGTGCTCATTTGTTCTCCACCTACCATACTCCCTAATCTCCAGGCTGTGTCCCACCCTTAAACCATCCCCTATGAGTTCTCTCCTCACTCTCCTAGGACTTACCACCACTTTGGAGAGATCGATAGGGGGCTCCTGGGTTTTCACAGCAGCCTGAGGGACAGCTGGCTCAGCCTTGGTCTTGGCTGGAGGGGTCCCTGCTGCTGGTTTGGGAGCAGGCTTGGAGATGGAGGGCCCTGCTGGTTTCTTCACAGGAACGTCTTTCTTGGGAGGCATGATGTCCAGTGGCCAAAGGACAGTGTGCCGACGGGGGCACCCATCTCTGTTTAAATAGCCAGGGAGTCTGGGATGTCAAGGGGCGGGAGCAGGGGCAGGGAGCCAGTTGGCGGCAGTGAGGTAGAGGGATAAGTCTGGCTGCTTTCACTCCCCTAGCCTCCTGTGGTTCAGGACTCTTGTCTCAAGGTTTTTTCCCTCTATCCATTACTCCCCCAAAAGCTGGCTAGAACAGTGCTCCCTTTGGCGGGTAGGGGAGAAGAAGCCAAAGATTGCCCAGACTAGGGGAGTTAACCTCCTGGGTGGGGACAGGATACTTGCCAGTGACACTGAGATAGGGATGATGTAGAAGAGCAGACCCAGGTAGCTTTAGGCTCTAGAAGGCCAAGGCAGGGGTGGAGGGCAGGGATCAGAGAAGCTTGTAGGAACTGGGAAAACTTATAAGTGGGAGCTGGAAACAGTAAAAAGTTTAAAAAAAAAAACCAAAACCCTCATAGGTGACTGTAGATGACAGGTGGGAGTAGCTGGCCCCATAATACCCAATACTTGTAGTCCCAGGGGCTGGAGGTGTAATGGAAAAGGGTGCAGGGAAGAATCAGGTTTAACACACATCACTCATATTTCCAAGGAAGAAACCTTTTCCCCCAAGCCCATGGTCATTCAAGTTGGGTAAAAGGCGAGAGCTTGCTGAATCAGGCACCAGCCTGAAAAGGCGGGCTTAGGGAGGCAAAGGGCCTAGATTCTCTAATTCAAAAGGATGTAGGCACTCCTATGGACTCAAAGAGTACTCACCCTTCAACCAGGGACGTGAAAAAAAAAGCCCTGACTCAGGCTCCAGGTCTCAAACCTTGCTGGAGTACAGAGAAAGGTGGGGGGAGGGCGTTGGGGAAAGGGGAGGGTGCTGGGTACTTTTGTTCTGAAAGAAGGATTTAGGCAGCATTCTGAGGAAAACAGTAGTACAGTAAATCCACTTGGGCCCTGGGGTTCAGAGAGTGATGCTGAGTCTTCCATTTGCAAAAAAAGGTCTGAGCTTCATTATTACAAATTGTCCCATTTTTTGAAAATAAGGAATCACTCCTCCCGCGGACACTAAAGCCATCTCACACACCCACACGCCCTAAATGTTAAAGGAGAAAGGCCCTCCCTAGCCCCCCAAAACTCACCCTGCGGTGTCCGGTAAGGGATGGGGGCGGGACGCAGCGCGGCTCCCGGCCCCGAAGGGTTAATTCTGGTGGCCGCGGAGCATACCGGGAGCTGTAGTCCGCTGTGCGCAGGCTCACGGGAAACCCTCCAGCTTCGGGCCGACGCGGGGGTGGGAGCTTCCGGCCTGCAGTGGCGGTTAGTGCCTCAGACTCTGCCGTACGCCCGTTGTTCCGGAACTAAAAGGTAGTGAGCAATCCCGGTACTTTACCCTGAGGCTCTGGGAGCCCCTCAGGAGATTACCTTCTCCTATCCGGGTGTAGTACCCTGTTTAGTGTAGGTGGGGTAGCTTCCTGCAACTGTGGCGGGAGAATTCAGTAGCGGGAGAAAGTCGAAGCTGCAGCAGGCAACCTGCAGATCTGCTAGCTGGAAACACTGCTCAGGGACGAGCGGTTGTGGTCTCTCGCTTCCTCTCTGTTTGGTAGTCAGAAAATAGAAGCCTTGGAGTTACTGTATGGCTTGGGGCCGTCATTTTTTTTTTTTATTTTTAATGAGTTAGTAGCCACAGTAAACGTTGCAATTTGCAGTTAAGCCTGGTCACCTGCCCCAGGATTTTTTTTTTTTTTTAGACAGGGTTTCACTTTGTAGAGACTGACCTGGAACTCACTATGTAGCCCAGGCTGGTCTTGAACTCACAGTGATCCTCGTGCCTCAGCCTCCCTAGTGCTGGGATTACAGGCGTGCGTCAGCACGCCCGTCTTGCCCCAGGATTTTTGAGTCGAGGTTTTCCATTGGTTATGTGCCATCTCTCCGGTGTTCAGAGGTCTCTTTAGCTCCGAGACCCCTTGGTGCAGCACGGGAATTCCTTGTCCCCCCAGCAGGTGTCAAAAGTCTGGGTGCGACGCGGGGGTGGGGACCCGGTCCGGCTCAACTTCATTCACTGCGTCAGGTGCACCTCGCCCTGGAGGCTGGGGTGACCCTGGGCCTGCACAGAATGGCTCAGAATAGTAAGCCCGCGCTGATCCTCGAGTGAGACAGGCATCCGGTGACATTCACAGATTGCGAAAAACTGCTCCGAAGAGTAAGAATGGTTTGTACGACAGAAGTAACAAGATGATACCGTGCTTGAAGGCCTCCCCAGTTGAGAGGCTAATGAAGGGGCCGAATTATCTCAGAGAGGCTGTGCTGGCGTTGCTAAGGAGTTTGGATTCAGGCCTACTAGTGTAGGAATCCTGATCCTGCCAGGTATGGCTGAGAACCTTTAACACGTTATCTCTGTGGTCATTAGTTCCCCCATCTGTGAAATAGCAGTAACAACCCATCTCATAGAGCTGTTGGGAGGCTTAAGCATGTTTGTAAAATAGAAAGGCTTAAGCATGTTTGTAAAAATAGCACAGCATAAGTGCTATAGAAATGTTTGCTAAGTAAATTTTCTTTAACCTTCCCAAAATGAAGTAGGCAGTATTTTCTCTTATTTTACATCCTTTTGAAGGATCAATATAGTGACATTAAGAGGAAGATGGAATGCATTTTTCCTAAATGTTTGGTTATAAGACTGTTTAGGGAAGGGCTACATAATAACATAGATTCCTTGATATATCTCTCCCCCTGTCCCAGTACTGGGAATTGAACCCAGAACCTTTCCACTGAGCTACATCCCCAGCCTTTTAAAATAAATTTTATTGTAAAACAATCTCACTTGTCACTGAACTGCTCAGGCTGGACTTGAACTTGTGATCTTCCTGCTTCAGTCTCCCAGAGTTCTGGTGTTGTAGGCATGCACCACCACACCCAGCGCTTTGTCCTGTTTATTATTCATAACAGAAATTGAACTACACATGGTCTTGACACACAGTAGGTGATTTATATATCATGTATGTGTATTACTGGTGACAAATGCCTGTGTTGCTGAGTGTGATGGCCCACACCTGTCATCCCAGCTACTTGGGAGGTTAAGGCCAAGCATCTCAAATTTGAGCCGGCCTGAGCAATTTGTGGAGACACTGTCTCAAAAAGGCTTGGGGTCGGGCAGCTCACACCTGTAATCCCAGCACCAAGGAGGCTGAGGCAGGAGGATCACCATGAGTTGAGGCCAGCTGGGACTACATAGCAAGACTGTCTCAGGTAAATAAATAAATAAATAAAGTCCCAGCTACTTAGAAGGCAGAGTCAGGATTGCTTAAACTCAGAAGTTTGAAATGGGCCTGGGCAACATGGCAAGACCTTATCTCAAAAAACAAACCCAGGTGAAGGCCTGGGACTATAGTTCAATAGCAGTATGTGTGCTTTGTCTACATGTGGCCCTGGTTGCAGTTCCCAGCACTGCAAAAACCAAAACAACCCAAGAGACAAGTTTTGAAATTACACACCACTATATCTCTTTGGTAACTTGAATAATTGTGGGTTTATTTTATACAGTTTAACTCCCTTTTAAGACACTAGCCTGCCAGCCAACCTTGGTGGTGCACGCCAGTAATCCAGCACTCGGGAGGCTAAGGCAGGAAGATTACTGTAAGTTGGAGCACAGCCTGAGCTACATAGTGAGTTCAAGGCCAGCCTGAACTACTTAGCAAGACCCTGTCTCAAAATAAGATAAAAACAAAACAAAGCTCCACTAGCTAATATGTTATTAACCTAGGTAGAGAGAGTATTTTAAGTAAACAGGAAATCTGTTAAAAAGAGTATCTTCAGTTATCAGGCATTTTGACCAGAAAATAGTACTGGAAGTAACCCATCGTAAAAAGAAGAGAAGGGGCCGGGGCTTTAGCTCAGTGGTTCTGCTGCCTTCCTTGCAAGTGCAAAAGCCTGAGTTCAATCCCCGGTACCAAAAACAAAAAAAAAACCCAAAATAACGAAGAGAGCTGGGGATTTAGGGATTTAGCTCAGTGGTTCCACAAGGACCCGAGTTTGATCCCTGGTACCAAAAGAAAAAAAAAGGCCTTTTCACTGGCTGTAGTGGCACACACACCTTTAATCCCAGCACTCGGGAGGCTGAGGCAGGAGGATCGCTGTGAGTTTGAGACCAGCCTGGGCTACATAGTTCCAGGTCAGTCTCAACTACATAGTGAGACCCTATCTCAAAAAAACAAAATAAATAAATAAAATTTTAAAAAAATAAATAAATAAATAAAAGATCTTTTCAAGTCTTGGGGTGGGAGTGGTACTGGGGATTGAACTCAGCTGCATCCCTGGCCACTTTATTTTTTGGCTCTGGGGATTGAACTTGGGCCTTTGTGCTTGTAAGGCAGGCAGCAAAACCACTGAGCTAAATCCCTGCCCCACTGCATCCTTTTTAATTTTGGGTTTATGGGTTTTTTGTTTGGTTTGGTTTTTTTTCAGTACTGGGGATCAAACTCAGGACGTTGTGCTTGCAAGGCAGGCGTGGTGCCACTGAGCTACATCTCCATCCTGGTTTGTGTCTTTTCTTTATTCTGTGCAGTACTAAGACTTGACCTTGGATGTTCTTCCACTAAGCTACAATCCCAGTTCTAAATTTGTATGTATTTTCATATGGTGTTTCCCCACCGCCCCATCACTGGAGAGTTAAAGATGCCTGCAGTTAAAAAAAAAAAAAAAAAGGCCTGCACACTAAGATACATCCTAGCCCATTTTATTTTATGCTACTGGAGATTGAACTCGGGGCCTTTGCACTAAGCTACATACTCAGCTCTTTTTAAGACAGGGGCTCCCTAAATTGACCAGTTTGAATTTGAATTTCCCATCCTCCTGCATCAGGCTCCTAGAGAGCTGGGATTATAGGCATATACCACCATGCCTAAGTCTTTTATTATTTTTTGTGGTACCGAGGGTTGAACTTAGGACCTTTACACTGAGCTATATCCCTGGATCTTTTCGGAGGGGGCGGGTGTGGTGGTCTCACTTACATACTTAAAACTGGCCTTGAACTCACTGTGTAACCCAGGGCTCAGACTCAGCTCCCCTCTTACCTCAGCCCCGAGTGCTAGGTTTACAGGCTTGCACCACATCACTGGCGTTCAGCCCTTTTTATTTATTTATTGGTATTGGGTATCAAATTCAGGATTTTTTGCTTGAGAGGCAGGTGGAATGTCATTGAGCTGAATCACTGTCCCCTCAGGCCTTTTTATTTTGAGACAGGAATCTTCCTGAGTCACTAAATTGCCCAAGCTGGTTTTGAACTTACAGTCCTGTCTCAGCCTACTTTTTATTATTTATTTTTGTTTGTTTGTTTGTTTTAGTTATTTGAGACAGGGTCTCCATAAGTCATTAAGGCTGGCTTTGAACTCACTATGTATCCAAGGCTGGCCTCGAATTCAAGGCAATCTTCCTACCTCAGCCTCCTGAGTACTGAGGTTTCAGGTGTGCCTACCATGCCGGGTTATTTTTATCTTTGAGGTGGCATCTTACTAAGTTACCCAACTACTTGGAATTTGAGATCCTCCTGTGTCAGCCTCCCAAGTAGGTGTGCTAATGGGTGTGTGACACTGTCCTTTCAGGTTTATAGTTCTTCACAGCAGTCTTGCGCTTCTATTTTCAGTAATACCTAGCTAGTGAAATACTGCATAAATCTTTGGCCCAAGATTGTAAACTTAGCAAGTAGGAGGAGATTGTTGCTTGAGAAAGGGCTGACTTACAGCAATAAGAAATGACAGGTTTTGTTTTGTTTTTGGTATCAGGGATTGAACTCAGGTCCTTGTGCTTCTGAGGCAGGCAGTGGAACCACTGAGCTAAATCCCCGGCCTAAGAAATGGTAGTTGTTTCTGGGTGTGGTGGTCATGTTTGTACTCCTAGCACTGAAAGGCTGAGGCGTGGGAATCACTTGAATCTGTGACCAGCCTGAACTATATAGCAAGATCTTGTCTCAAACAAAACAACACAAAAATAGGAAAAAAACAGTAACAGTAGTTGTTAGTCTGTGAGGGAAGATGCAGAATATAAAAAGCAAAATTTTGGGGCTTGGGGATTTAACTCAGTGGTGCTGCTGCCTGCCTCACAAATACAAGGTCCTGAGTTCAATCTCCGGTACAAAAAAAAAAGAAAAAAAGGAAATCAAAAAGCAAACTTTTGCCTATTAGTTGATAACATTTTCATAATGTTCAGATTTAGAGAATATATAGGAAATCGTTTTCAAGTAACGCTGGTAGGAGTACAGAAGATGCATGCAGTATAATCTTAGAATGCAGTTTGGAAGAATGTAGTAAAAGTCATTGAAGTGTAGAAGTTGACCCAGCAGTTCCACTTACCCTAAGGAAA